GGTACAACAGTATACAACAATCTTAAGGTACAACAGTATACAACAATCTTATGGTACAACAGTATACAACAATGTTAAGGTAAACTGAGATCCAGCACATTATCTGTCTGACTTTGAGTTGTACATGAGCATTAGTAGATCACACCTCACTCTCTAAGTTGACTGGGGTCCATCACTGCAGGAAAAAMRTGCATGTTCATTCTCATGAGCATCTCCTTATGAATGTCAGGTCCACTTTCCACCTTGGTAAAAGATCTCACTCTCTGTTATACACTAAACATACACTGCTATAAAGGTAGGCTTTTAGACCTCACAGACTTGACATTTTAAAGAAACAGTTCAGCTTCCAAACAGAGCAGTTTAAAGCTTCAATATTTATTAGGAGATCATCCTAATAAGTAGTTGGATGTGGGTTTATTCTAACAGATCTCCACATTCAGAAAAAGGAGATGCCACTTCTTTTGCTTTGTCTTCTACTTCCTTTACCTTTAAATGCAACATGCTTAGTAACTGTCCTCTGGGCTTCAAACATCATAACTGTGCTGAATCCATGACAACCTGTTACACACACACCTGCCACACACACCTGTTACACACTCGTTACATCATGGGCCAAGTAGATTGGTGCCCACAGTTTCATCTGTGGAAGGATGTATTAATAATTCAAGTTTTATTTTCAAAAACTGTATAACAATAGAAAGATGAACTATACTGACTGATAAGACAGTTTATAGCAGTGAAGCCAGTAGTATGCAGAACTGAATTAAAGTAGCTTGTCACAACTGGCATATTATTACATTTATCAGACTGCAAATCATTGCATTTATGTTGTTGAAATTTATTTTTGAAAATAAGGAGCAGGTAAGATTTTTTTCTTTTCTCCTTTTTCTTAATGGTATTTTGGTGTTTGAATTGTTGTACTGTATTTAAATTATTTGTTTTTAATATGTGAAATTAAATAAATAAAACAGGTTATGCCAGAGATGACCCATGGGTGCAGACTTAACATGAGGACTGAAAGCAAAAAATAAATGTAACTAGAAGCACTCGAAGAGCACAAACCTCCRCCRAGGCAATAGGGTCARTTATGCTAAACAGTTCCCCTTGGAAAAGTCACGTTTCCAGTGCTTTACAGTAAATATAGTAACATCATGTTGCATGTATTTAGACATAATAKTAAATGATGGAAATCAAACTTTCAATGTATTCAAAGATATTTATGTGAAAACATATGCAGACATRCGCGACCGAAAACATGACCTCGCCCTTGGCAGAGGTAATAAAAYTGAATCAGATGTAAGCAGACATATTCTGAGCACATACAGTGRAGGTATGATGTAGAACAATAATATGACGTCACACATGCGACTTAGAACAAAGGGGCACACCAATACAGTGCCACCTGCTGGACACTTTGAAACCCACTTGGGACATGAAAAGGAAATAACGGTGTTAAAAAAAATTCCTGTGTCCGCATCGTGATCCGGAACATCACCAAAATTTAAAGGTGTATCAYTTGAGGCAGTACACATGTGGTAAAAATGTCATGACAATCCGTCCGCAAGTTTTTGCGTAATGTTATACACAGTCAGCATGACAGACAGACATACGCGACCGAAAACATAACCTCGCCCTTGGCGGAGGTGATATAATAAAACAAAACCTGATGGGCAGCAAAACAAACTACACGAAGTTAAGAGGAACATGCAGGAGACCAAACTGACAGTGGACTGGGTAGGAGCGGTGCCAAGTCAGCGCCTCCAAAACACAGTACAGCTCCATCAGGGGTGGGGCTTAATGAGGTAATGTGTCTGCTGCAACATCACCACACATTACATTTCATCTTATCTCCCCAACATTTGAGTTACATACAGACAAGYTTTCATCTTGGTTCTGTTATTCCCATGCAACAGGATGCATTACAAAACACTCAGTTAACACAAGGTTTTAATTTTTTCCTTACAACTTTTCAACTGGTAAACAGGCACAAAAATATGTAAATATAAATAAATATGTTGTAATTATCAAATGTTTCTAAGCATTTGCTACTTCAGAAAATAACTGTTCAAGAATAAATGTATTGAAAAAGTGTAAATCAGGACTTTACTACATCTACATTAATACTACATGTTTTATTTATATATTTTGTACGTTTCATATTTTGTATTTCATCCATGTTTTCAGTGCTCAAGTCAGATGTGCAGTTAAATGATTTATAATATATTTGTGGCAGATTTTAGGTTTWTAGTAATTTATTATAAAAAATATGTTCGTCTATTATTATTTGTACACTTTAGGACAAAAAAGACCATGTAAACAAGGAAAATATAGTTTATAGCAAAACACTGAACTCTGCAGAGGCTTTTTTCTAACTTGTTATTKAATCAACTCACTATCTTTCTACTCAGCGACTTGCTTTAAAGATCTAAAAAAMAATCCGGATGGATTTGAGAAAAAGATCATCCTGTGAGATCGGAAATAAGATTATTGAATTTGCCCACAAACTAGATGATCTAATCAACATGTTTCACTCCTTGTATTAACAGTATTCATAAAGGAATTGACAGGAAAACTGCTCAAGCTGGCCTGTTCTGTTGTTTAAAAGATAACAAAAAAATCAATCTTGTTAGTTTTGATCAAAGCTTCAAAGAGTCACTGTAGACAGACCAAAGAGCCACATGTGGTCTCAGAACTACAGGTTGCAGACCCCTAGCATAGAGAGAAAAAAAACTTGGGTAGAGTGCATCCTCCGAGTCAGGGAAAAGGTCCTGCCCCAAGTGGAGGGGTTTAAGTATTTACCAGTTCTACATTCCAACTCTCATCTATGGTCATGAGCTTTGGGTARTGACCGAAATAATTATATAAAGTGGCTGAAATGAGTTTCCTCTGCAGGGTGTCTGGACTCTTAGATAGGGTGAGAAGTTCAGTCATCCAGGAGGGACTCAGAGTAGAACCGTTGCTCCTCCACATCGAGAGGAGCCAGTTGAGGTGGTTCATCTGGTTAGGATGCCTCCTGGACGCCTCCCTGGTGAGGTGTTCTGGGCACGTCCCACTGGGAAGAGGCCCAGAGGAAGACCCAGGACACGTTGGAGGGACTATGTTTCTCAGCTGGCCTGGGAACACCTTGGGGTTCCCCTGGATGAGCTGGTCCAAGTGACTGGGGAGAGGGAAGTCTGGGTCTCTCTGCTTAGGCTGCTGCCCCCAGGACCCGACCTCGGATAAGAGGAAGAAAACGCGTGGATGGAAGGAAATAAACTTGTTTTTGAACAGTTGTTTTCTGAAGTAGTAAATGCTTAGAAACATTTGATAATCACAACTTACAGTATATATTCATATTTACATTCCTTGATCCTTCTGTTACTGAGGCCTTTGACCAGTTGAAAAGGAAAAAATACTGTGTTGATGAAATCATTATTTGTAATCCATCATGATACATGGAAATARCAGAATCAAGATTAAATCTTGTTTAGGTTGATGTAACTCAAATGTTGGAGAAATATTGTGTGGCAATGTCACAAATGAAATATGTCATGAAGCCCTGCTCGTGATGGAGGTGTCCTGTATTTTAAAGGTCATCAATTACGGTCCTCGAGGTCCGCAGCTCTGCATGTTTTACTTTTTTTCCCTTCACTAACACACCTGATTCCGTCAGTGAATTACCTCTTCCAAGTTCTGCAGAAGCCTGATAATCATATACAGCGKGTAAAATAAGTATTGAACACGTCAACATTTTTCTCAGTAAATATATTATTAGAGGTGCTAATGACATGAAATTTTCACCAGATATCGGTAACAACCCAAGTGATYCATACATACAAAGAAATCAAACCATAAATGTCCAGAAATGAAGTTACTTGTAATAATGTGGAATGGCACAGGGAAAAAG